CTGCGATTCAAAATGAATCAGACTTAGGAACTAGACCAAAAGCCTTGCAACTKCTAGGAAAAAAAACATAGTCAACACTCCATCATATAGGTATAGGTACCGACTTTCTTAACAAGACCCGTAAAACTCAAGAAATAAAATCAAGAATCAATAAGTGTGATGTCATCAAATTAAAAAGCTTTTGCACAGTGAAGGAAACCCATCAAGAGAAGGAAGAGAGAGCCTACAGAATAGGAAAAAACCTTTGCCAGCTACTCCTGTGACAGGGAATTAATATCCAGAATATATAAAGAACTCATAAAATTCAATTGCCAAAAAGCAGATAACCCAATCAATAAATGGCAAAAGTACTAAACAGAAAATTCTCAAAAGAAGAAACACAAATGGCCAACAAATATATGTAAAAATTTTCAACATCTTTAGCAATCAGGAAAGTSCATATCAAAGCTACATTAAGATTTTATCTCACTCCAGTCAGAATGGCAATTATCAAGACTATAAATAATAATAAATGCTGGTGAAGGTGTGGGGGGAAAGTACACTTATACATTGTTGGTGGGACTGCAAAATTAATACAACCACTTTGGAAAGTAGTGTGGAGGTTCCTCAGAAAACTGAGACTGGAAACATCATATGACCCAGTCATCCCACTCCTTAGCATTTATCCAAAAGAACTAAAATCAGCATACTGTAATGATACATCCACCTCAATATGTATAGCAGCACAGTTCACAATAGCCAAATTATGAAATCAGTCCAGATGCCCATCAATATATGAGTAGTTAAAAAACATATAGCATATATACACTATGGAGTTTTACTTGGCCAAAAAGAAGAATGAAATAATGATATTTGCCAGTAAATGGACGGAAAAGGAGAAAACCATGCCAAATAAGTCAGACTCAGAAAATCCAGGGTCAGATGTTTCTCTCATGTAGAAGATAGAGCGAAATAAGGGAAAAAAAACAATGGAGGAGGGAATTGGGTATCATAAAGATAAAGGGAAGATCAGTGAAGTAGAAGTAGGAGAACGAGAGGGAGCAAGGAAGGGAAAGGGAAAGAAACAGAATGAATTTAATAAAGTCAAGTTATATTCATATATAAATGGACCAAAGGGAATTTTACTTTTATGTATGTGCTGAAAGTACCAATCAAAAATAAATAAAGAAGGGGCTGAAGTTGTGGCTCAGCAGTAAAGTGCTTGCCTAGCACGTGTGGAGTGCTGGGAAATAAATAAATAAACAAACAAACAAACAAATAAATAAATAAATAAGCAAAAGAATGATCAGTAGAGTAGATGGAGAATAGGGAGAGGGAGAATAGGAGGARAAAGAGAGGAATAGGTACTGAAATCAAATTCCTTGTATGTGTAATTTTATAAAATTGAACCCATATATTATGTATGATTTTAATGGTATAATAAAATATAAAATAAAAATAAAATGGACTCGGGTTATGGTTCAGTGGTGGAGTGCTTGCCTAGCATGTCCAAGGTACTGGGTTTGATCTTGGCACCACATAGAAATAAACAAATAAAATAAGGGTATTTTGTCCATCTACAACTAAAAAATATTTTTAAAAATAAAATAGAGGACTTCAGAAAGCTAGTTAACATATTAAAAACTTAAACCTACAATTTCTTTAAAAGTATATTGATTCATTTTAAAATAACATTAATAAACCCATTATTGGGCTGTATCTGTGGCCCAACGGTAGCGCACTTGCCTGGCATGTGTGAGACACTGGATTCGATTCTCAACACCATGTATAAACAAATAAATAAAGGTCTATAAACAAGCTTAAAAAAATTTTAAAAAATAAAAATAAACCCATTACATGTAGAAATAATCTTAAAGTTTAAACATTTTTTAAAAAGAAATTACTATTTATGAAAAATAACTTTAAAAAATTTAATGAGAAGGGTGACATCATTTTGTATCTTTGTAAATCTCTGCTTCAGTAGAAGTTAGACATCTTCGTTTTTTTTTTTTAATATTTATTTTTTAGTATTTGGCAGACACAACATCCTTGTTTGTACGTGGTGCTGAGGATCGAACCCGGGCCGCACGCATGCCAGGCGAGCGCGCCACCGCTTGAGCCACATCCCCAGCCCCTAGACATCTTCTTTATTGAATCTCTACAACATGGTTTTTTTAAAATTATACTTTTATTTATTTATTTATTGGTATGTGGTGCTGAAGATTGAACCCAGTGCCTCACACATGCTAGGCAAGCACTCTACCACTGAGCCACAACCCCAGCCCTCTACAACATGTTTTTTAGGTTGAAGAAAGTCCAGTCTCACACAGATATATAGTTGGAAAAGGGTAGAAGTATGTAATAGCCTTTTCAGATAATTGTGAATATTCTTTGATATTATATTTGACAAGTGGCAATTTCTTAAAGGTCCCTTGGAATATGGAACTTTGTTATCTGTAGACCAATGGATTTTTCGGGGGGAGGCTCTAGATTTCATACAGACCACCTCTTTCTCATCTCTGATCCCCCACATCTCTTCTTCCACATCTTACCTATTTTCAGCCTTAGCTCTAGGACTTAACTCAGTTTATCACCTCCAATGGAAGAAAAGACTCATCTGTCTTCCTCGGTACTCTGCTAGGCCCCTTTCTGGAGTCAGGAGGTGGAGCTTGCTCTCCCGTAACCTTCTCCACGTTAGCTAGTGGAAACTCCCTCCTTTTGATTCTCAAACGAAAAATGGTGGCATTTTCTTTTTTGACTGCTGTCCTGTCACATATCCAATCTGTCAATAGATCTTATTGGTTTACGCTTCAAAATAGATCCCTCATTATCACCTCATCCAAGCCACCATCATCTCTCCCTGCATTGTTCCATCAGCCTCCTACCAGGACTCCCTGCATCCACCTTCGCTCCCTATTCTCAAGGGAGTGATCCATTAARAACACACACATCAGGTCACTCTTATATTCACAATCTTTATCCCTTAAAAAAAAAAAAAATCTACTGGCTGGGGGTGTAACTCAGTAGTAGATCCCTTGTCTGGTGTGCCCATGACCCTGTGTTCAATCCTCTGCATCACCCCCACATTCCCCTGCAAAAAAAAAAAAGTTTTGTTGCTTATCATGATCTACAAGATTATATATCTACTTGACTGAATCTGATTCCCACCTCAACTTGAATCATGTACCCTCTTTCTTTTCAGTCACAGTGCCTTATTTTGAGGGTTTTTGAATCTACAAAGAACTTCAGTGTCTCAAAGCCTTTATACTGTTAACCTCTTCCTGCTAAGTTCTTTCTCACTTAGGGTTTTTCTTACTCACAGCTTCATTTAGTAGAATAATGACTCCCCGCTGCCATGTACCAATACTGGTGACTGAACCCAGGGGCACTCTATCACTGAGCTACATCCCAGCCTTTTTATTTTTAAAATTTTTAAATTTTGAGACAGGGTCTCACTAAGTTGACCAGGTTAGCTTCAAATTTGTGCCCAGCTAGACCGGTGAATTTTAATCTCTTTTCTTTTAAACAGATTTTTTTTTTTTTTTAACCTATGCATGATTGTATAACACCATACAATGGTGATTTGGAAAATACAGTTTCATGAAAAGACAGATTTTCCAAATGTGTTAATGTAGTTCAGTGTGTGTGTGTGTGTGTGTGTGTGTGTTTTGCAGGGGGTGGGGTATACCAGGGAGTGAACTCAGGGGTGCTTAACCACTGAGCTACATCCTCAGCCCTTTTTTATTTTGAGACAGGGCCTCACTAAGTTGCTGAGGCTAGTCTCAAACTTGCAATCCTCCTGCCACAGCCTCCCAAATCTTTGGGATTACACATGTGTGCCACTACACTCAGCCATTGTATGATATTTTAAAATTACATCTATTAATATTAACATCTATCTCATCAGAAAAATCTTTTAAGTATTGCAAAGCTTTAAAGCTCATATAGCAGATACAAGTTCTCCAGAATTCCAATTTTTAATGGAAAGCTTGAATTTCATCATTGTCAGCAAATACTATCAATTGTTTTCTTGAAGTGACATATTCATTTCATTCATGTTTAAGATGTCTGACAAATATCTAAGTCTAAATAATCACAGCTCTTAGTATAAAATGGTATTTTTTCTGGGCGTGGAAGCATATACCTATAATCCCAGCAACTTGGAGGCTGAGGCAGGGGGATTGCAAGTTTGAGGCCAGCCTCAGCAACTTGTCAAGGTCCTGAACAATTTAGTGAGATCCCATATTAAAATAAAAATCTTAAGAAAAGGGGCTGGGGATGTAGCTCAGTGATAGAGTCTCCTAGGTTTAATCCCCCAGCCCCAGAAAAAGAGGTATCAGAGAAAGCTTTACTACTCACAAACAATGCAGAAGGCTATATATAGTATTATGAAAACAATTTTGATTGTGTTCATAATACTTTCAGATCCCTGAAAGAATTTCAAAGGTACTCAAGGGTCCACAGTTTAGGAATCACTGTTTTTGTCCAGTTATTAATTTTGCATTTGATGAGGTCTGAAAGTGAAAAAGAGTGGGTAGTTAACCCAAAGCCATTCCTTAATGACAGAGCTGGAGTTGGATTCCAGGGATTCTGACTCCTAAGCCAACACTCTTTCTAATGTTCAGAACATTCAACTGTATAAAGAAAAAAAAAGTCAAACCTCTGCCCAACTATTGTGCATTTTAAACACATTTTAAAATATGCATTATTACCAAAAATACTCTAAATCTATTTTGGAACATCATGTAAAACTATATGAGCTTTTTGTGTACTTGGAATAGTTGCAAAAAGTTAAAAGCAATATTATCTAAGAAGAAATTGTAATAAAACTGTAGATTTCAATTAAACATTCAGGGCTGGGGCTGTGGTTCAGTGGCAGAGCACTTGCCTCACAAATGTGAGGCACTGGGTTTGATCCTCAGCACCACATAAAAATAAGTAAATAGGAATATTTTWWAAAAATTAAACATATACATAAAACTCCTAAAAGATTTGTTGTTTGTTTGTTTGTTTTTTAACAGCTAATGAAAATAGGTTCTGATGTTGAACTGTTGCTTAGAACATCTGTTATACAAGGCATTCACACAGACCACAATACCCTGAGTAAGTTAAAAAAAAAAATTCTGACTGCAATGTGTTTTGAAATATTGAATAGTTATAACACTTTTATTTGTTTGTTTGTTTGCTTTTATTTTAAAAGATGRGGTCTTGCTATTTGCTCAGGCTGTACTCAAATTCCTGGGCCCTTGTAATCCTCCTGCCTTAACCTCTTGAGTAGCTGGGCCAACAAGCATGTGCCACCATACCTCACATTACCTCTTAATTATAGCACTTTTAATGTTAATAAGTAAAACAGCTTGATTTTGCCAGGCACTATAATATTTATTGTATGCATTTATAAGGTAGTCTAAAAATGCCGAATTATGAAACTTTGTTATACCAGATTTCATTTTAATTTTTAAATTTATACCCTGATTGTATTTGTAAAACTGTAGTTACAAAAACATTACTACTATTTTCATCATATTTATTTGGGATTCTTAATTTTTCTAGGCTCATGTATCACTTACCTAGACTAAATCTAATTTTTACCTTTTATTCTGTAATTATTTTAATTCAGAAGAATTGGGATTATAGGAAATGGAAATRTAATTAAGAATTCTCCATTATACCTTGAGACTCTTTATGGGATCCAGTAGAATCTCATTTCACATTATATATTGTTTTCACTCCCTGAAATATTTTGGGGGATAATAGCAACAAAAAACAATGACATTGAAAATCATTGTTTTTAGGGGGCTGGGGTTGTGGCTCAGAGGTAGAGTGCTCGTGGAGCATGCGTGAGGCACTGGGTTCAATCCTTAGCACCACATAAAGATAAAATAAAGATAAATGTTAAAAAAAAAAAAAAAGAAAGAAAATCGTTGCTTTTAAAGTTCTCCTTTTGGGGGCGGAAACTGGGGATATAACTCAGGGGCACACTTGACCACTGAGCCACATCCTCAGCCAAAATCATTGCTTTTAAATAGACTATTGGAAATATACAGAAAAGTACACAATATATAATTGTACAACTCATTGAATTTTCACCAAGTGAAAGACCTAACATCCATATCAAGCTGTATATTACAGCATCCCAAAAGTCTCTTCATATCCTCATGTTTTTTCTAGTAACCTTCTTCCCACAAGGGTAGCCATTATCCTGACTTTCAACACCATAGTTTGTTGGGTTGTTTTTGTTTTTTTTTTTTTTTATATAGGGGTTATTGAACCCAGGGCGCTTATCCACTGAGCCACATCCCCAGCCCTTTTTTGTATTTTATTTAGAGACAGGGTCTCACTGAGTTGTTTTAGCAGCTTGCTAAGTTGCTGAGGCCAGCTTTGAACTTGCTGTCCTCCTATGTCAGCCTCCTGAGGCACTGGGCATGCACCACTGTGCCTGCCATGTTTTTTTTTTTTTTTTCCCTCCTTTATTCTGTAGGTTCAAAATGGAACAGATTTGATTCCATTAAGTTATGTTAGGCAAATTCCTCTGAATATTTTACCAGTRTCTATCCTGCATATAAAAATGAGAAATAAAATTCTGCTTCTTGTTTAGAAAATTGAGAATTGTGATTATGAATCTCTCTAGATGTGTATGTATATACATYTATGTATCTCAACATGAAGGTAATAGAGAGTRAAAATAATAAAATGAAACTGCATTTTTGCAATTGTGCATGAATTCTAAATTTCTCTTTTCTTTCCATTCCAAATAATATCTGTACTGAAAATTAAATATTGAATTTCACTCAGCAAGAACTCCTTATCTTATATAATTTGTAATTTTTTTCCTTTTTAAATACTAACTTCCGGGGCTGGGGATATGGCTCAAATGGTAGTGCGCTCGCCTGGCATGCATGCGGCCAGGGTTCGATCCTCAGCACCACATCAAACAAAGATGTTGTGCCTGCCGGTAGCTAAAAATAAATATTAAAAATTCTCTAAGGGCTGGGGATGTGGCTCAAGCAGTAGCGCGCTCGCCTGGCATGTGTGCGGCCCGGGTTCGATCCTCAGCACCACATACAAACAAAGATGTTGTGTCCGCCAAAAAAAAAAAAAAAACTAAAAAATAAATGTTAAAATTCTCTAAAAAAAAAAAAAATTCTCTAAAAAAAAAAACTAACTTCCTTTATCATGGTGTGTGATTTCAAAGTTCTTTATTATAGACATGACAATTTAATCATTTTGGGAAAATTTTCTTATTTAAAAAAAATCTTTTAAAAATATTGTGGAAACTGCTTATTTTCCCCAAGTACTTGCTAGTTTTTGTGATTTTTTTTCCCATATCATCTTAATTGCACGAATTTGAATTAATCATAACATTTGATTCATACCATTCTCATCATTGGTCTAGCAGAGCCTTTAACTATGACTTAGAAAAATACTGAAATTAACTCATTGTTCCACAGTTGCTTTCTCTTTGATTATTGACGTAACATGGATATTAGTCAAATGGTTTTAGAATTGACCTTTATCCATCATACATTCTATAGATAGTTACAAATTTATGCATAAAAATTGTATCAAGAAAACTCAGAACTTCATGTGACTATATATCAATGGTATATAGTTTTGTTTTTGTTTTTGTTTGTGGTACTGGGGATTGAACCCAGGGCCCTGTGCAAGTACTCTACCAACTGAGCTATATCCCCAGCTCCTGGTATATAGTTTTTGAATAGGATCATCTATACTTTTTAACTTCTTCTGTGGCATATATGTAAGACAAACAAAATGGGAATGTGCTTTGAAAATTGGTATGATACATTTTTTTCAAATGCACTAGAAGCCAGACACAGTGGACCATGCCTGTAATGTGACTTAGGAGGCTGAGCAGGAGGATTGCAAGTTCAAAGCCAGCCTCAGCATCTTAGCAAGGCTTTAAGCAACTTTTTTTATTTTGAGACCCTGTGTCAAAATAAAAAACAAATAAAATGGGCTGGGGAAGTGACTCAGTGGTAGAACACTCCTGGGATAAATCCCCAGTACCACACACACAAAAAAAAGCAATCTTTTTTCAGATGTGTTTTTAAATTTCTGCCTTTTCATTTATTTACATTTGTCATTACCTACAACTATCTTAGAATTTGTATTTAAAGGCAAATTAATGTGATTCAGTAAACACTTATTGAATCCTCTTTGTGCTGGGCACTAGAATTTATGGAGAATGCTCTTAAATGTTCCTTCAGTCCTTCAATGCTGTAAGAGAGGCACATAAGCAGATCCCCATATGAAAGGATAGATTCTTGGAAGAAAACACTTAGTTTTCTAAAGTTCTCTAACTTCTTTTTTAAATATTATTTTTTATTGTTGTTTATTTTTTATGTGGTGATGGGGATTGTACTTAGGGCCTTATGCATGCTGGGCAGGTGCTTTACCACTGAGCTGTCTCCCCAGCACCCCCGCCTTTTTTTAAAAAATATTTTTAGTTGTAGATGGACACAATACTTTTATTTATTTACTTATTTTTATGTGGGTGCTGAGGATCGAATCTGGTGCCTCACACATGCGAGACAAGTGCTCCACCACTGAGCTACAATCCCAGCCTCTAATTTCAACTTATCATTTATATTTATGTTCTTGATATATTTAGCAACATTTCTGTAACTTCAGAGTTAAATATTTTAACATCTTATAAATTATTGATATTCAACGTGTCTCTCTGATTGCCATACTCTTATAAACAATGCTACCCATAATAGATTTTTTTAAAAACTCCTGCCCTTAATTTTGATTTTGGTCTATAATTGAGCTAAAGCCTTTTTATTTCAAAAGAAGTACTTTGTAAATTATGCATATAATATGACCAAAGTAGATAAGGCTTTCAGGGTCCTATAAAGTACAGGAAATAAACCATGATCTCAGTGCAGTTCCTTATCAAAGATCTGGCAATGTCAAATAGATTCATGTGGTTAATAGTATTTGGCATCTAACATAGAGAGCAAAGTCAGAGATTTTACAATCAATAAAATAAAATTATAGAAAAATAGTATATACTATGTAAATACACCTGTGGTATGTTTGGCCTAATTAAAGTGTTAGCAGTTAATGAATACAGAAAAATTCAATTATAGAGTAACCTTTGATTCCAAAGATCACACAATAAGAAGAATTGAGTGAAGGGATAGAGTAGTGGATATTCGAGAGGCTTTCTGGTTATTTACCAGTCTTTGAATGTCTTCCTTTGTCTTAGGAATTTTCATCTGCAGAAGTTCTAGATCCTCAAGATAGAATAAAGAAAATTCAGTTCCTCAGTTTCCTTTGCATTTCTGATATAGATAGCATTTGATATAGATATCTATATCAAATATCTATATCAAATATGCATTTGATATAGATAGCTCACACCTACCCATGTTCCGCARTGGACTTGAGGGGCTATCGGTGTAGTTCAGAGACAGGTTTGCCTCATATGCATGAGGCCCYTGGTTCAATCCCCAACAAACAAACAAAAGAAATGACCTTGAGGGCAGAGGCTTGGCACAGATCTCTTTTACTGGCAGGAGTAGCATTAGTGGTTATAGGATCAGGTCCTCATGGGAAAGTGGCATGGATTTGGTGGCAGGGGAGATGTAGGAATGTTGTTTCTGGCAGCATCTGAAGTATAGCACATTGTGTTTTTCATAAGGTTAAAAATGGTAGCAGTTTCTTCTAGTGCTCCATTGGAGTGGCAGTTTTTAATCATTAGGCCAGTTCTAGGGTATGGTTTTGCTGTTTTTCTGAAAACAGTCTCAAACCTGTCAGATTCTTTAGCCCTCACAACAATGCCATGAATAGATGAAAAACCTATTAATAATGTTTTTTTTTTTCCTGCTTAATCAGTCCTAGTCCACTTGTGTTTAAAACCAACAGAAGTTTTCTCAAGAAGTGAGGTACTGAAGATTACACAACTTAAAATGCGAAAGTAGAGAGTGAAAAGTAAGGGTAGAAGGGAGTATGATTATCATGGACCTGACCACTATAGGCTTCAAGCTTGTGACCCATATAGTGGTAAAACATAAGGTCAGGGCCTCTTTCTATTTCTTAGGACACAAACCAAGTACTACCTGAGGCTACAGCTAAGAGAAATTGCCAGAATGTCAGTGCATGCTGGTTAGTTCTTCCTGCTTTCAACAAGGTACTGAAAAAGAAAATGAGTGCAGATTTACTAGTTCATCTGCAAAGCAAGATGGATTGAACTATTATTTAGTTAAGGGGTATTCTTTGCAGCCTAAAACCTAATTGATTAAGAGTTCTGCAAGGCTCTTTAAGAGAAAATGCCAATTGGTCCCATCCTCTAAAACTAAAACAAAAAATACAAGTAAGAGTCTTCTCAACTCTAATGTGAAATAAAATCAGTGCCCTTAAAATTTTCTCATACTGCCAGATGCATTTAGTCACTGAAGCGTATTGTTTTTCATTGCTCTAAGAAGTGACTTAAGGTAAGGACCATTCCAGAAGATCATCTTAACACTAAATATTTTACTATACATTTTAGGGGCAAATGACTATACTTACATTTAATTCTAATATAATGACTATATAATTATAATTCTAATTTTAATAATTTTAATTATTCTCTCTGTTTTTCTTTTAGAATTGGTCCCTAGGAAAGATCTTCTTCTAGAAAATGTACCATACTGTGATACACCAACTCAGAAGCAGTGAATTTTCTAGGATAAAACAAGACTTTGTATATTTTAACTATAAAATGTGTAACTGGCAAAAGTCCTGGAAATATTGAAAATGTATGAATTAAAGAGTAACATCATAATTTAATTCTACATTAAAWGGACATTGCTAAGAACTACAGAACATAGTTTTGGTTTTGGTTTTGGTTTTTGTGGTGCTGGGGATTATACCCATGGCCTATTCATGCTAGGTAATTGCTCTGCCACTGAGCTATATCCTCAGCCCTATAGTTAAGTATTTTTAAAGGACATTAGAGAAGATAATTTATTTTCATTGAAAATCAAACTTTATAAAGTAAAACTTAGGGAGGTATATCAAATTCACTTCTTTTAGACCTTTATAAGTGTTCTGCTCTTACCAAAGTTATTTGGAAATTTCATGTTTTGAAAAGTTGTAAGTTTTCCTCCCATGGAAATTTAATTAGATGTAAATTATTAGATTAAATTAATGTTTAGTCTCCAAATTATTAAAATGGCCAAAAGAGTCACAGCTCTCCACAGAAAGTATTCTTTGTTTCCTGAATATTGGAATTATTTCTGAAACTAATAAATAATTATAGCTTTTTTTTTTTTTAGACAATAGACAGGTTCTCTGTGTCCTTATAAAGACATTTTTAATCAGTCTTCTAAAGACAGATGAGTAAAACCTCAAAATCACTTAGAGTCACTATAGAATAAAGAAACCCTAATTGTTTTAATGAAATGGTGGGCTCAATCAAACTGGGTATGGCCTTACTAGAATTAGCTGTATTTAGACCACAGTTGACTTTACTGTGCAAATGTAACATATGGCTATATTCACTTTGCTTAAATCAATAAAACTTAAATGACTTTTCTTCTTCTACATGTCCCATCCTTGGGATGAGACTGAAGAATCACAAAAGGCCCTAGCATTCTACCATCTAATGCTAGAAGCTGGCGCTGGGGATGTGGCTCAGCRGTAGCGCGCTCGCCTGGCATGCGTGCGGCCCGGGTTCGATCCTCAGCACCATATACCAATAAAGATGTTGTGTCTGCCGAGAACTAAGGTAAAAATGTTTAAAAAAAAAAAATGCTAGAAGCTATAAAATTGTATTAACATTCTTCTTGTTTCTCATTTATCTGTGTATCTTTATCGTTCCCTTTCTCAATGAATAGTGTGTTCTCTCCAATTTGATAGTGAACATTCTCCATTTGATGATGATACAGTATTTTACATTTTTTACAAGATTCTCAATGCAAGTTTATTTGTTAGCAAAACATTGGTATATCTATACAGGATATAAAATGTCAAATTGGAAAACAGATTAAATTTTAGAAAATCAAAAAATTATCAAAATTATTTAGATGTAGTACACTCAGTATTAAACCAGAGATTACCCTTTATGCATCTTAAATCTTTTTTTTGGTGCCAAGGATTGAACCCAAATGCCTAACCACTGAGCCACGCCCCCAGCCTTTTTTATAGACAGGGTTTTGCAAAGTTGCTTAGGCCCTCACTAAGTTGCTAAGGGTGGCTTTGAATTTGCAGTATTCCTGACTCAGCCTCCCAAACTCCTGGGGTGCAGGCATGCACCGCCACACTTAGCGCATCCTAATACTTTTGAGGAGATAAGTTAGTAATCTGTGAAATGTATTATACACGTCAAAAGATTCATAACTTTTCATCTTTGTATTTAATTTTTACTATGTGAATAGAATTATATATATTATGTATAATATACTATAATTTTTCAGTACCATTAAACATGTAGAAGCTCAAGACTTTTAAGAAATTGAATTATTTGTTTTCATTTTTTAYTCACATTCATTTAAGTATCTCATCAAACTTTTTATAAA